AGAGCTTTCCACGTCGGAGATGTTTTGACAATCACTTTCCCAGTCCGAGTCAGAGAATTCAATGTGAGTTGCAGAATATTTGTTTAAAATTTAATTGTGAACCTGGCACAAATTTACGTTTATTGAGCACTTTCTTCAATAAACTAACTTGGTTTATTGTTTACAGGTCACCACCTGGAACTCCAACTACGAACTTACAACCGAAGACAACATCACATACACTTTGACCGGATTTCAAGCTCCTATTGGAAATGATTTCAATACCGAGGTTAGTGTTTATAGCCTTCATTCAATGAGAAAGTCTAGATTGAGTAGAGGTATAAATATAGAACAAAATACTTTTAAAATATCTTTAAACACAACACCCAAAACGTGATGTGTTTTTGAAATCCTAGTAACTCACTTTAACTAATTGTCATTCTAGGTTTCATTCCACCTTGTCTACGACATGGAAGATGGAGTCGATAGATGGTTTTCCGCTGGTGACATCACCGTCTCAATCACAAAAGCAACCGACAGTGAAGTGATCATTGTCTAAAACATTCATACATCTCTTTCAATGATACGTTTATCTCATTCTGGAACTTGCCATTTAGATATAAATTTAAGTTGAATTTTCTGATCCTATTCTCTGAAACAGTTGAATATTTTGGACAATCAAAATTAAATGTAATATTAGGTGATTGAATAACTGAAATTTTGAAACATAAATTCACTTTGAAACACCAAACTTTTGATTTCAATTCAACATATGATCATGATGAATGCGAGTTTTGATAATACTTGCTGAATTTTTGTACTTACTTTGAAAATTTTCTTTGAATGGTTGAAATACCATGACAAGATTTATTTCGGTATATTTTATGTAATTTTTCATAGAATTTGTAAGCTTACTTTTGATATTTTTTTTTACCAATAATGCACTATTTTTATACTCAATTTAGTACGATATAAATAAATACAAATGCTATATAAAAATTATTATTTCATTGTATTTGTGTAATATTACACTATCAATAGTCACAGTCATTTTTTCCATCTAGTAAAAAAAGTTCACATGCAAAATTAAGACGAATAAATAATATTGAATACACATCTCACTGGGGAAAAGAAGCCGCGGGAAACCAAAGATGGTTATCAAGCAGCGACACCTAAAAATATAATTTTCAATATTTTCAATTTGTGAATATGATGATGCTTTGAACATTACGATTTTTTTTTACAATAAAGATATGATTTTAGCAAAAAATGTCTGACTTCAATTCAAGGTGAAAAATCTGGTAATTGATGCATTTTATTTAGGAACTATAACCTGCTATATTTAAGCGACAGTGTATAAGAGGATCCTACCGTAAATAACATGATCTATCTTTTGGATAAAGTCTGACGGATATCCGATTGAAATTTGCAAATAATGCATTTGTACAGTTACAGTTTAGATAGCTTATGATGATTGCAGAAAAAACGCATAACAATAATACTATTCAAGAAAGCAGAGCTTAAATGCATAGGCACAAAGTTCGCACCAATTTTGATAAAGAACAAGAGAGCAATGCTCAAATATATGGACATGTTAATCAGAGAGAAGCAGTCCTTACCTTCGACGCTACCGGTACCTACGGCGCTGTCGCCATTCCCATTCCCCGTTAGGAAAGCAAAAACTTCGTTACATACCAACGACGTTCAATGAGCACGTGATCAAAAAGAAGAAGAAGAGTGCCAGCATAAAACGACTTTTTAGGTTTTCTCCACTAGAGGTCAGAAAAAGTAAAACGATCCATAGGTCCACCCCGTGTCCAATAATAAAAAATAAAAGTAATAGTCTTCTGGCAAAAAATCAACCTTTAACCACTGAAAATTTTAAAGCAATTGGTCCAGTAATCCAAGAGAAAAGCGACTTTTTCATAAAGTGTTAAAGAACAAGAACAACATAATATTGAAACGATCCATTGGTCCACCAACATGTCCAAAAACGGAAAACAACGATACCGAGTCGTCCGAGCAACACGAAATAAACACTATTCTCTTTATCGAACGACTTCTTCCGTCTTTGAACATCTGCTTTTAAAAACAAAATCCAGAGTCATCCTTCCACGGGATAAAAAAAACGCCGCAACATACTAAATACATACATTACCTTAAAAAATGGCATTACTTGCAGAATTGTATTGTGAAATATCAAATTTCTCACCATAGCTATTTGGTATTAATCGGGGCGCGAGTGACAATACCTTTCCGTTTGTTTTGGTGCATCGAAGAGTTCCTATGATATATCTCTGCAGGCAGGTGCAACGAAATGCTTATGAAAAATTATACATTATGAAAAATGTGTTATACCAACTACATTATAAATTCAGAATGTCTCCTCATATCAGCGAGCTTGCAGAACGATTGCCCAAAACAAGCCTATGCTAAGTAAAGACTACCATAGTTTGGAATAACAAGAGCCCACCGCACTCACGAACGATATTTTAGCGAGTTTTCGACAATATCTACATTTATTATGCTTCGTGATAAAATGTGCCTCAGTGAGGCGTTTTTCTGTCCTGTTATTTACACTTCTTTGTCTTTATTTTAGTCATCCGTAAATGCTGGAGTGAACCTCACTATCACATCACAAAATACGTAAAACAAATGTGATCGATATGTAATAGAAAACCGCATTCATTTTGTAAAATTAGGTTGAGAGTATAAGCAAGACTGTAAATGAATTCAGTTGAAAAGCTTTAAGGAGCTGGATGTATGGATGGAGCAGTCTGGAGGATGGCGATTTTGGTAATAACTATTTTTTGATGTTGCTGTTTTTGCGATTGGGATTCGGGTATATTGTCGGGAAAATGAGGCAAATGGGGAAGTGGTTTGGTTCGCGACTGGACACAATACAATACCGCACAATCTACGCCACGTAGGCTATGTATCATCGGGCCTCGCTGGTGGTGGATAGCCTTTTACTATCCTACGTTTGGAATTTGTTTGTGGTCTGCCGCGGCTGGGTGGTATATTTCGATTGATTTTGTTTCTCATCTGGTGCATTGGGCATTCACGGACATATAACTTAGGCCTGTACTGTGGGAGGTGCTGCTGATATTGTTGCATTTTGACCGGATACGGATGCTTCCTTCACCATTACGACTTTATCCATGCATCTGAAAACAATAGCTGGCTAACTAATTTTATACCCGACATGAACTGGTAACAGGACGAGAGACCTTGGTTTCACCATATGATTGAGCCGTTCTATTGGTTTTTTTCGCCCCTAGAATAAATATGCAAATCCTATCTTATCATTTGGTGAGACAAAAACAGTTTGATTTCGAGGACTTATTTCCCAATCTTCAAACGTAAAAATAGCCTGAGTTTCGAATTATTTGTAAACTTTGTACTATTCTAAATTTTTCGGTAGACAAATGCATGTTATATGCATGTTTTTAGTTATTTTAGTTATATATTTGTTTCCCCGAGTTCCCGTATATATATGAATTGTACCTTTTTGCGTTATAGATATTTCAACCGAAATAAATCTGTTCTATCTAAGTCAGGTTATGTATTTTTTGTCTCCACTGTATACTATAGGCTTTTCTGGATAATTATCACAAAAAAATGTTAAAAATGCACGTTTTTATGTTCATGATTTCATTCATATATATGCTCGTACAGTGTATGTGTATATATATACAATAAAACTACAATTCACCACAAAAACCCCGTGAAATGGATTCTCTAACAATTAGCAGTAACTAGCTATGATTAACCGGATATTAAATTAATTGAATGATGATCTACGAAGAACCCTCAGAAAAGTTTAGCCATTCGTAAAGTTAGAATGTTGAAACTGACTTTGGACGAGCTGCTCGGATAACAAAGACATGTTTGAAACTGTTATTGAATTTGTCTTATCTAGGGGCGAACTAATCTAGCAATAATAAGTTAAAATGCTCGTTTTTTTTTATATTTCAACTTATTTGAGAGTGTTGTAAAGTATGGCCCTTCAACGATTTTTCATCGTTGAGGCAGAAAGACCAAAGGCAAAAACATATGCACCATTACACATACCAACGGCGATGACTGTGTGCTGTGTCTGCTTCTTATCCACGGTTAAGAATAATTTCCACAAGTAATTTCAGACAACTTTATATTAAATGATAAAAGTGGGGTAGTCCAGAAAAGCGTTTATACACGATTCACTTGGGCCAATTTTATGTTACGGTGTCTGTATATTATTACGCTTTTAAAATATATATGTACCCATTGTACAAATTGTGACATAATTATTAATGTCGGTATTTCAAACGATGAAAGCTGTATTAGGTGCTGTATAGGCGCGAAAAATTCCGAGTTTGGTTTTGAAATACGTAATATTTTGAACGATCGTTTATTTCCTGCAAGTAAAAGTATATGGACATCGCAGATTAGTACAATCACGAATATAACATCGAAGAAAGTAAATTTGAAACGATAGATTTCATGAGTAGGGTTGTTTAAACACGAAACCAGAATGGGAATATTGCCTTTTTATTTTATTCGGTGATTATGTCAATATGTGTTTTTGTTGTATGGACACGCTTGAAAACCACTAGGACACAGACTGTCCGGCTGAGGTTGAACTGAAAAAGAAACATACAGGTCATTATTGCGCGAAACTCCATATTATGATACACGTTTTATTATCTCCCGTTTATCAATCAACTGAGAAAGAAGTTTACTGCGGATTACCGGCACTGAACAATATATCCGTCGCAATAAACGTATAAAATCATCAAAATAAACTGTAAACATCTCTAAAATTATATTTAAGCTTGGGATAAATATTAGTCCAACCTGTTTGCGCAGAACTCTAACATTATAAATGACATTCCGGTACACACCTGATTGCGTGTTTTATGTTTTTTATAGCACTTCTGATGAGGAACGATGAGCAATAAAAATACTTCCTGTACTTTCAAAGAGTATAAAATCTCGAGATCCCAAGGAGAGAACATCAGTCTTCAATTTCGTATTTTGTTACTAACAAGTCAACACAACTGTATACTGAAGATATCAGCTTCACTGAATTCAAGGTAACCAACCTCTTGTTTATAAATTCGTTGCTTATCAGCATATGAATAGTAGAATGACTAGTGGAACAGTTGTAGAAGCAACGGGGTGACTCCTAATCTATCTAACAGTCTTTGTTGTCGAGTTAAGCTTTCATTTAATAATCTATAAATGCAAATTATTTTTAAGACATTTCAAATGTTTGAACCTACATAATATTAAGGCATAGTTTAACCAATAATACCATTTCAATTTGAAGCGAGATGCCCTTGACCCTGATTTTTTGAAGGCAACTTAATCATAACATTTTTGTATTTTTCAGCACGACAATCAAAATGAAGATCACCATATTCATCGCCATTGCTTTTTTTGGATTAGTTTCTGGACAAATCGTGAGCCGTGAGTATTTAATATGATTCGACATACAGTCTGATGAGACCGAAAGTGTCCAAGTTAGCTTTGAAATACTAATTTTTCCTATAGTAGTAATAGCATTTGTTTTGAGACCACGAAATACACTAGTAAGTACATTGTCTAAATTTCTTTTATTGCGTAATCATATAATATCGTATTTTTATCTTTTTAGACGAAACAGCTCTCACATGGCCTGAAAATGACCACGCCCTCGGTGGAGCTATAGTAGATTTTGTGTATGAAAACGTTGGAAATGGATCGTGTCAAGTTGTATTACCGGCTATGGTCAATCTTTTCCACGTAAGTTGATCATTGCTAGTTGGAATTTAATGGTATACTTTTCTAACTACACATTGGTATTCTTGAGATGTAAAATGCATTCTAAAGTATGAAATAAACAGCATAAGTATCAAAATGTTATGTGTTTCACGTTGTCTGCTAGTGAAAATGATTCTTTTGATATTAGGTTATGAACGGATTCATCGTTCCGGAGAGCAGCAGCCCAGTTGAAGGTCTTTACACGATCAGTGCACCAACCCACTGGAGTTTAGTCAACGGCACATTCAAAGTTCTCATCTTGTTTGACCGTGGATCAGCTTTTGCTCTGGAAGACATTGTATTCGCTTGCGATCCTCTTGCAATTTCCGACAGTAAGTACTGTAGTGTGTTATTATTCGTAGGCAACATCATATCTTTTAAAGACTCTCGATGACTGCCACAGATAGCAAGATTTTTAGATATTTTGTATCAGGATAAAAAGCTTAATACGGAACGAATAAAATATGAATTACTTAATCATTTTCTGTTACTTTTTTGATGAACAATTGAACTTAATTGTAGCAGAATAAAATTTTGTTCTTTTATTACAGTCAACGTTTACTCTTTCCCCCAAAACAACTTGATGGGAGAAGCTAGCTCAACAATTTGCTACAGAAGAGCTTTCCACGTCGGAGATGTTTTGACAATCACTTTCCCAGTTCGAGTCAGAGAATTTAACGTAAGTTTTTCAAAGACTGTTTGACACACTTTCATTTGTAACTGCTTGTTATTTAAAAATACTAAACCACCGTTTCGTATGAAAATACTCTATGAATGATAACAGAATCATACCAAGAATTATTTCGTTTTTAGATCGTTGAATGATTAAATATAACACTCTTTGCATGCTTTTGATATTTTATACTGATAATTATTCTTTCGTATAGCATATTATTATTTTTTTTGATACTTTTATATCGACATATTTACACAATTGGAATCATTATGAGAGTTGAATCAAATAAACCTTGTTTTGTAAATCGAATAGCGTGCAGTATTATATGTGTTAAATTGTTAATGTTACCGAAAATATAGTATGTGTCTCTAGGCGAAGTTGCGCACTTCATATAACCGCTATTTGGTTAAACAGGAACATCCAGCGCGCCAAAACAAGTTATATGCTGAACGACGTGAAGATTGAATTAAGTACTAGTAATTTGAGGTTGAAGGAAAATTATTCTAATGAAAGAAAAAATAGTTATAAGATCTTGTCAGATTTTTCACCACTTCAAATTACACAACTTGTTACTTACACAATACTGAATTGGTAATGTTCTTTTATTGGGTCCAAAAAATTAACAATTCAAGATTTTTTTTCATACTGACGGGAAATAAACGGATTTCGTTCTGTCTTCCTACCTCCGCCAAATTAGTGAGCTTCTGTAATAACGAATGATTCTTTGGGACAAATATATCACCACTTCCGTTGGGGAATTTACGAGCTTTAGAGTTCAGTAAGTTGAAATTTATTTATCAGTCAAATTCAATGTTCCGGTTCCTTTAAATAATGATATGCTTTCTTATAAATGACGTTCGATTTGAACTGGTCGTGCAATTTTTTTTTAATTAAATCTTAAAAAGACAATTTAAGTGATTAGTTAGTGACTAACACCCAAAATGTCAAACATCAAAATCTATGACTAATAGTTTGAAACTAAATATTTACATCTTGTTGATAAATGGACATTCATTATATGATTTTTATTCTGTTTGGAAAATATAGATTGGTATCAAACGAAAGTATGATTAGGCAAATTGACTTTAATTCTGGGTTCAAATATGTGATTTAATAGGTTCAAAAACATTCAACAATTTTATGACTCGTGAAAACTTCGGAAAATCTCGCGCGAATAACCTATAGCCAAATCAAAAAAAAGGCAATGTAAGAAATCTCGAAAAAAAGCATGAGTGAAGCACTATCTGGATAACTTTCTTTCGTTTCAATTATATTTTATTCGTAAATTAAAATAATAGTAAACTAATATAATTTTATCAAGCTCCAAGTGAAGTTTTATCGAATTATAATTAAGTTCAATTTTAGCGATACGTGTAAAGCTAAAAGTAAGTGCGATTAAGATCATAAAGAAAACACGTATTTTGCCTTTGGCGTCTACTTAAATATCAAAGTTGTTATACTGGTACTTCTCGATGATCTCATCGGTATTTTGAAATTGAAATAAATAAATGGTTCACGTGAAGAGATTGCGAAATTACCTTTCCCTACATATAGCCGAAGAAAAAGCCAAGATCATCTGTGTCATCGCTGTCTTCATTCGTCGCTGTTCGACTACATCAAGTACAAGGTATGTTGAGTTATAATTGAATTTTAGGAGGCTGCTGCTCTTGTATTACCAAGACTATTCACGTATTGGTTGACGTAAAACATATAAAATATTTTGCGCCATTTTGGATTTGAAACTAAGCCAATAAATTGATGTTCAATTCCCATTTCTTGGCTTTTATCCTCCACAGAGTCGAAAAACTTGAATCTAAAACACTAAATGTGATGCGCAAGTAGGTCTACATATGATTAGGAAGGACTTCAGGTCAATTTAAAAAACAAACAAAAAAATAAAACAGTTCTAATTGTAAACTTGAAGAATATTTTCAACAACCCAGTTTTATTGATGGCCATGCCCAATAGAATCAATTTTCCCAAAATAGTAACGAAACTACCGATATAAGAATCATAGTCAAACCACGTGCATTCATTCCCCGAATTCAAGTCAGTATAACATAGAGAACTATTGGTATTCAAAATATTTGCTTCAATCTCTCAAAATTCCAGTTTTTGGCTGATCAAATTGACCATAAAAATTCAGCCCAACGTCATAGAATTTCGGTAACGGTTGTCATTGTAGAAAAAGCATTTCACATCATATCACTTAAAATAACTTGACAACCTTATTGAACTAATCATATAGATATTAAAAAATCAAAATAGAATTCGTTTCATTATTACGCTAACTTATTTTTAGAAAACAATGAAATTCATAGTAATAGCTACATTTCTATTGTTGGGATCTGCATTTGCACAAGAGGAGGAATCAGAGGGAGTTTCAGGTATAGAAAAATATTCGATAGCATTGATATATTTCATTCTATTTGTTCAACCAATTTTGTCTTTATTGGGAAACGCTCAATAAAATAACAATTGATTTTTTTGAACATATGATTTTCATTATAGTGCTTGTTAACACCGAGTGGCCGCAGAACGATCACTCGCTTGCTGGAGCTATCGTAAGCTTGGTATACGAAGGATTGGAGGATGGAAGCTGCATTGTAAACTTGCCAGAAGCAGTCAACATGTTCCATGTCAGTATGCTTTCTATATAAATAAAAATTTGAATCTCGACATATATATATATTACTTTGAACATTTGAACCAAGTTTTCATACTACGTAACACCACGTATCACACAGTCGTTATATAAATTTTTCCATAGGGTGTTAGGGAATGAATTCGAACTCCAGAAATTCACGATTACGTTTCCTTTGTTTCCTTCATTCGTCATTTCACCTATTTCATAAATCACATTTCACAGGTAATGAATGGCCACATCAATGGAGATTCTAGTCCTGTGGAAGGTCGTTATAAGATTTCAGCACCAGCCGGCTGGGAAGCTGCAAACAGCACATTCAATGTTTTAATAATGTTCAACAGAGACGAAATATTCAATTTGACTGATATAGTATTTACATGTGACCCAACTGATGTGGAAGAAAGTACGTTGTATTTGGAAATTATATGAAAGTGTATTCTTTCTTACTCATTGCGAGTTTATAACATTATTCAAGTATATTAATATAAGCAATCTTTTTAAATCGTAATGAACTCGTTTCCATAAATCCAATTTTCTACAATTAAACTTTCTTTACATTGCGTTGGAATTTGTTAATAAGCTGTTTTAATTTGTTCATTTTGAAATTTCAAATTATTATTTTAATATTAGGCCGCCAAAAATACATTAACATAGCAGATATTTGAGAAATCTGTAAAAATTAATTCAGTTGGGATTGATATTTTTGAATTTGCAATTCTGTAATTCGAATTTGTAATGGGATTCTGCAATTTTGCAAAACGATAGATTAATGAAAAGTTTACCAAAATACGTACGTATCGAACGCAAAAAAAGAAGTTTGTGAAGATTTTTTTAATCTTCAGTATTACATTGTTTTATGAGCACATATTTCTTTAAATACTCGGAACTCGTTTTTAATCTCTTCCTTCGCTGTCACTGTATAAAAATTATCTTTTTTTTTGATTACCAATGTGTCAAACCGTCACTTTTTCAGTAAGCGTCTATTCTTTCCCACAAAATAACTTGGTGAAGGAAGCGAGTTCTAATGTATACTACACAAATGGATTTCACGAAGGAGATGTCTTGACCGTTACGTTCCCAGTTGCAGTCGCTAGATTCAATGTAAGTATTTAATTTATGTATCTAATATCAGCATGTTACTATCAACGATTTCGCTGATATGTTACTGTGACGTAATAAATTTTTTTTTATTTTTATTTTTTTTTTTTTTCTATTTTTTTATCATTTTAAGTATATTACTTTTTTACCAACCAATGTATTTGTAGTCATACCCTAGTATTATTCCGGCGCAGAATGCACATATATATTCTTTATTAAAGATTCAGAATCGAAGAATTAGGAATATAATTCACGGTTATTAGTGTAAAACGATGATATGAAAAAAATCAAAGAATGATATTGTGTTGCACTGATGCAGGTTATACCAATCAGACGGAAAATTGAATCATTAAATTTGGTTTCATTCAGTGATATGCCGTATTATTAAATTAATTCATGACATATTCTATTGAACTAACGAACGCCTACTATAGTTCTGTATAATTTTCGATCGTCCACGATCTGCTCAAATGACAAAATATAACATAGCTATATTTATCAATCCAGTTTACTACAATGGACAGCAGATATACCGTCACTTCTTCCGACTCAACAACGTTCACACTGAGTGGATTTCAAAATGCTGAGGGAGTCGATGATATGAAAGAGGTTTGAGCAAATACATAACTCAATATTTGTATGATGTTCGTAGAACGAATTTCACATTTTATGTTTGTCAAGTTCCGCTGGAGCATGTTGGGCTAAAAGTCAGTATTGTATCAAAAAGAATAATAATGCGGGCCCACATAGGTTCAATATGATATATTTTATTTTCACTAACTCATTCGATTTTTAGGACTCAATCCAAATGGTTTGAGATCTTCTTTAGCGTAACAAAATTTAAAAAAATTCTATTTCAAGTTTTAGTTTTTATATGGATATAAATGTAAGTAATCAGCAATATAAAAATTCACACCGAAAGACGCGATCGATTCACAACGAGTTTTTGTGTGTAACTACCGGATGGGTAAAAGAGAAATATGACTTCATAAATAATGACCTCATTCATGTAAAATTTCATATCTCGAAATTTGTTTTTTACAGGTGAGCTTTAGCATAGATTACCTACAATCAGAAGATGGCACTTCCAACTGGTTTTCTGCCGGTGATGTTACTGTTACAATTACTAGAGAAGACGAGAGCGAAGAATAACATTTAGTCATTTGAGATTACACAAGATTGAATGGGATGCATTTATGTTTATTCAGAGATGATTGAAGTCTACTCTGGTTACACATAACGACAATACATGTTGTTTTACAATTTAAAAATGTATTTTCAAAGACATGCTTTTCTGTAATAAAGTACCCGGTTAATAAAATAATAAACTTTTGTTTGCTAATTTCACTAAATTCGCAATTGCCGTCATTAGAACGCTACGGAATTACATGTTGGAAATATAAATTAATAGTCATTGGGACAATTCATGCTTGAAATTTGGGTCACAGAACTTATTTCGATGAAAACGTTCGGCCACATAGGGGATGAACAATTTTAGTGTACCATTAAGTAAGTTTCTCATTTTTATTAGCAGAATATTACTTTGTGTACTTTGGAGATAATACATGAATATGTTAGAATGCGTTACCAAACAGAAATCAATTTTTGAGCTCAGGATATTGTATGCAGGGCAGAATGATCATGTGCTAATTGTTTAAATCGCATTTGGGCTCGTAATTATGAAGTGTATAATGTGAGGAGAAAAGATATATCAACAAGTATGACAAGTGGGCAGGAAAAGGATATATATTGGCATTCAAGTGGTTCTCAGAATATTTATAATAAGTAAAAACAAAAATTTAAATTAGTCACTTAAAAAAGCACGAAATTGCAGAACTCAACGACAGAGATTGACTGGACAGCCAATTAGGCTCACATGAATTATGTTTGGGACTCATCTGTGTTATAACGGATGTAAATAATACAAGAAAATCATAATTAGTATAAACTTTGGATAAGAAATGGATAAACAGTTATTTATCTCAATATTAATCTACTGCGCCTATATAATCGTATAAATATCGAAAAACTAACACTACGAAAAGCAAATATTGCGAAAAAAGAAGATATGCATGCCGAATACAATGAATAAATAGTATGTCGAAGATTCGAGCCATAGACTCCGTGTGGAAGAGTCAGACTACAGTGAAAAAATTACAAATATGCTGCTCCTTGACTTTGCTTAACCGAGTTGCTAGACACCGATAACAATGAAAGTCACAATACAATACAAGCAATGGGTAATTGAGAATTGATCTGTTTGCTTCGACATAAGCGAAAACTGGCAGCAATAATAACGGAGCTCAGAGTACTCATTATGGTACTGTTATGATAGTTAGTAGCAGTGGCGGCGCGTGGTAATTTTGACAACCGGGGCAAGCTACTGCGGGACCAAGTCACCCCCATCTACGGAGACAGGATGAGCGCTGTAAGTTCTCCCATCATTTTATGAGTATAAAAACCATTCCATCGGTAACAACCAATCGGCAAAAGCGACAATTTTTAACGATAAGAAAGTGTCTTTAAAACCGGCCCAAGTCAAGGGATTAATAAATATAGACATAGTTTATTTTGAAACCTCTTTCAAAAGGAAAGGCAATATTTACCCAGATAAATACGATGGCATATTAACAGAAACTTCGGGAAAGCAGACAAAACCTAAAATAAGGTTTAAAACGTTACTATGAAGAAAGGAAAGCTAATGCAAAGATAAGGACATGCGTCGCTCACTCATAGATATATATGCTGCTAGACTTCTACTGTTTGAACATATATGCAACACGCCGCGGTTTCTTGGAAGCAAAATGCTCAATAACGCGCTGATTAAAGTCATGCATCCCAGAAATAACGTCTCTGTGAATGGATAAAACAGCCAAGGAATTTAATCTATCTTGCTTCATTGTGTTTCTGAGATACGTTTTAATACGCTCCAGCGTGCTGAATGTTCGCTCTGCGTCGGCGGAAGAAATAGGCGTCGTCAAAATGATGTCCAGAAATTTTGCAGACGCCGCAAAGGTAGTTACTAGAGTGTTATCTATGAGGAACCCATAGAGCGCGCAAGTTGATGTGATGTTCAAAAAAGTTTGATTGGTGTATATACATCGCAATTCATTTTCCAATTTACCCACGTTTATCATGGGGTAAAATTTGGAGACAGTAGCCAACAAATGGATGGAAAATTGACGTGCAAATTTTGAAATTTTTTTGGGGTTCATCAAAGAGAACGCGGCAAGGTGTTCAGTGCGCAGACGATCGCCTATTTGATTCACCAGAATGTCACAGCATTCCTTTGCATACAAAATCAAACGCTGCGTTGTTTGCCCGCGGCGTAAAGAAGCACTCCATGTGTCGTCGTATTTTATTGTTTCCCGGATACGAGATACAGCATCGCAGAGGTCTGAAATACACGACTGCACAGACGCTCCATCCATTAGCCTTGACTGCAATGCGCCGTATAATACATCCACGTGATAGAATATTGTGGAGAAAAAAGCGAGAAAAAATGAAAACTCACCATCTTCTAGCAGACGCTTTAGACCTGCCGCCTCCCTCACAGAGCGTTCGTCCCAAACCGGAAAGCTCTGAATGCCATTGAAACACTCAATGAGCTCAGACCTAATTTCGGACACGCCCTGCACCACGCGTGATTGGAAGTTCCAACGTGTTGGTGCACAAGCTGGGAGACGGCGGCTACATATCTGGCGAAGGAGGTCAGAGCGCTTCGGCGAAACGGAAAAAAATGAAGAAAACCCCGAAACATTTGCAAAAAATATACGGACGAGAGGGGTATCAACACACATATTTTTAATAACAAGGTTAAATTGGTGTGCATAACAATGTAAAAAATGCGCATGAGTATGGTGGCCCATCGTTGTCACGCGTAAAATTGAAAATAAAAATAAAAAATAAAATAAAAAACCGAAAATAAAAAAATTGTTGTGAAAAAACATAAAAATAATTAAAAAAAAAATGAAAAAAAAAATTAAAAAAAAATAAATAAAAACGAAAGGAAAAACAAAAAAAAAATTAAAAAAAAAAAATTAAAAAAAAAAAATTGAATAAAAAGAAAATAAAAACGTTGACAACGATGGTCCGCCTCGTGGCCCATCGTTGTCACGCGTTTTTATTTTTAGAAAATTTGCTTCTGCTTGGGACCAACGTTGTCAGGCATAATCCTACGCGCACAAATGTGTTCCCTGGGTTTCAAACTCACTACTGATTTTCTTTAGTAATATTCAATATGAAAATGTTCTATAAATTCTCCATGCTACAAGTTCAACAAGAAGTAATATATTTATAATAATGATAAGAGAATATAGAATTGAATACGAAAATTCGGAAAATTGTTTTTACGTGTATAAGGTAATTTAATTGGAGAATACTGCTTAACTACTCAGTTGTCTGGACACTCGCGATGCCGGTACCGTACCGTCTTACCAAATACCGGTAGTCGGTTATAGTCGCTTTGCGTCTGACCGTACCGTTAACCATACAATCACTCATGAAAGAATGGGAGATACGGATAGTCTCGTAGAATATAGACTACTGAAACACTCTCTGCGCCTGCCCCATACCGTACAGCCGTAACGTACGGATCCAGACAAATGATAAATCGCCCGTGCTCAACCATTTATTTCAATCCATACCTCGATCCTAGTAGAATATAGTGAGTCGAGGTATGGATTGAAATAAATGGTTGAGCACGGGCGATTTATCATTTGTCTGGATCGGTACGTTACGGCTGTACGGTATGGGGCAGGCGCAGTGAGTGTTTCAGTAGACTATATTCTACGAGACTATTCGTATTCCCATTCTTTCACGAGTGATTGCATGGGTACCGGTACGGTCAGACGGTACCGTACCGGCATCGCACGAGTGTCTGAGCAGTTAAGCAGCATTTTCCAATTAAATTACCTTCTACACGTAAAAACAAATTTTCGTATCCAATTCTATATTCTCTTATCATTATTATAAATATATTGCTTGTGGTTGAACTTGTAGCATGGAATATTTATAGAACATTTTCATGTTGAATTTTTTTGGATATTGCTCATGAAAATCAGTAGTGAGTTAGAAACTCAGGAAACACATTTGTGCGTGTAGGATTAAGCCTGACAACGTTGGTCCCAAGCAGCATCAAATTTTCCAAAAATAAAAACGCGTGACAACGATGGGCCACGAGGCGGACCATCGTTGTCAACCTTTTTATTTTCTTTTTATCCAATTTTTTTTTCAATTTTTTTTTTTTTCAATTTTTTTTTTTAATTTTAATTTTTTTTTTAATTTTTTTGTTTTTGTTTTATTTTTCAATTTTTTTTTTAATTTCAATTTCTTTTTTATTTCTTTTTTTCAATTATTTTTATGTTTTTTTACAACTATTTTTTTATTTTTGCTTTTTTCATTTTATTTTTTCATTTTTTTTCTAATTTTTACACGTGACAACGATGGGCCACCATACATGAGGTATATCTTCTTTTATATAAACTTGAACACCATGTTTCGACCCACTCATGACTGCCGCGCCGTCATAAGTTTGATCTATCAATTTTGACTTCGCGTTGTAAGGCTGTAACACTTCTTTCAGTACAGCCGATATCCCGCAAGCCGTGCGATCAACGATTGGTACAAAGCTGTGAAATCTCTCGGTAGGTTTACCATCTTTCACAAACCGAAAAATCACAGCCAGTTGGGAAACGCACGTGATGTCAGTTGTCTCGTCAGACTGAATCGAAAGGAACTGGCAATTCTCAATTTCCAGAGCCAAATGTTGTAAATAAATTTTATACATTGAGTCGAGCAAATCATTTTGGATATCCATAGATGTCCCCTTCGAAACAGTTGCAGCATCAAGATGATCTCTCAATACTGTATCTAGGGATGCGGTGTATTCCACCATATCCAAAAATACCCCTCTATTAGAAGAGCCAGCCCGTCCATCGTGCCCACGGAGGGACAGCTCGTGACAACCAATGAACTTCAAAACATCTATCAATCAACCGAGAACATGGCGGTTTTTCTCGACGTTTTGGTTGTGCCGACGAATAGAAACCGCGCGTCCTTCATCCAACTGTGCTGCAATATTAACATTTCCGAATGTTCGGTATTTTACTGCATTTTCCAGATGCTCCATAGAAGATTGATGATCCCTGGCACGCTCGGAAAGATGTTTAAGATCTCTAAAACCAAATTTACACCAACGTGAGTCATGGGCGGTAGCAAAAAGTAGGCAATAAAAACAAAAAAGTGCATTTTTGTCCTCGCTGTAACACAACCATTCGTGTTTTTTATACCAAGTTTCTGCGCAGAATGTACGCCGACGCTTTCCTCCGTCATGGGATTGTTCCAGTGAACA